TTTTTTTTTTTTTTTTTTTTTTTTTCAGGTTTGATTAGACGGTAAGACGGCGATGCAGTGATGAGAGAGGGCGATGGCGTGCGGGAACGCGGATGGGACAGAACGAAAACAGAAAAAATCAAGAACACATAAAATCATTAGTGAGCGGCAATCGAGGAGAGGTCGATAGAAGTTCTATGCGTGGTCAATAAAAGCGAGAGCTCAGGCTAATTAAAGTACAAGATCAAACAAGATAAGGCATTCCATGAACACTGGTAGCCTCTTTCGGAAGACATAAAATTGTGTAGTTTTATGTAAAAAATACATAATCGATTACGTTTATGCCATTAGAAGCGAATTTATATCATAAATATCGCAATATGAAAATTTTCAAAGCGTAACTCTTCCTCGAAGCTGTGCCAGTTTCTTTTCTACTTCTATAATACATACAAAGTGTCCCAGTTTATCGTTCCATCTTTCATTTGCGAATTCTCGATTTGATCGAAGCATCGATATCCCCAGATAAAAGAGATAATTTCGGGGCACTTTGTACAATGACGATACGTTTCTTGATGTTTGGTCCACATAGGGCCTTACCTTGATGGCAGTCTGCATGAGAACCGTGGTGGCATAGTTCACGCCCTTGGTACCAAGATGCAACACTGCCGTGTAACCCTGCTCGGTCGCACGTGCTAGGGCTTCGTCGATCTCGGCTTCACGGCGGATTAGCGCGGGATGCACGAAGCGCCGGTAAAGGATACTCGAGCCCTTAGTAGCCGGGCTTAGCAGCCACAGCACCAGGATGATTTTAATCTCATAGTAAAACGGGAACCTACGTAACAAACGTTCAAAGCATGTAAAATATCGCACGCGTCAATACGTTCGCTATTTATCGAAGTTACTTATTCTGAAGCTTTAAATATATTTTTGTGTGCAGTGCATAAATATAAGTCACGACATATTGCAGTGAAATAAATATATTTACACACATGCATAAAAAAGTATTATATTCTGCAAAAAAAAGAACTTACAAAATCTGTATCGTTTCCAAATTAACGGATAAAGCTATTCGAGACATTAATTCGACAAGAACGCGCTTTTATCTGACCGAGATTTCTAAATAAACTCGTCACGTTTTTAATACACGTAATCATAACGTAATAAGAATAAAAATAGTTGATCGCGGGCAATCGCTGTGCCGTCACGCAGCTGTAATCTACTCGATTCGACTCGCGTCGCGAAAAATTCGTCACGGGCGTGAAAGTGAGAGCGGCGTGGAGAAATGCAATACACCGGGTGCGTCGGGAGAGTATCAGAGCATTTCGACGCCAGAAATACGCGGGAACTCGTTTCCTTCTTGGTTGTAACCCGAGTATGAAGGGAGATCTGGCGCATGTGATGCTCTCCGAGGAGGAGAAAGAAAGAGAGATAGAGAATAGGGGAGCAAAATGACGGGGAGAGAACAGAGGCAGGCGAGGAGAGGCGCGCGGGCAGAATCCTCAGAAGTGCATGTAAGCCAATATCTATCTCGTCCGAAATTAGACTTTCGGAATTCCTCACAGCGAGAGTGCGGCTTTCAAGACTGCGCGGTCCACAGCTGGTTTATTGGCCCCGGCTTGCCCTCGTACTTGCCACAACTCCAAGATTCAACTCAATATCCGGTGCGTTATATATTACGTATGTTACGCGCGGTTACCCTCAAATCAACGCGACGCCGTTTCCTATACACGTTTCAGCTTCTACACATTCTTTTACGAATTTCAATAGTCTCACTCATACACTGATTTTATCAATTTATTTTAAAACGAAAACGAAATATCAATAATTTTTTAATATGCTCAACAGCAAAATTAAAGCATCACTTATCCTGCCTCTCCCTAAAATAAGCAAATTTCAAAAGAGTATAACTTCGTCAAAAATGATCGTAAAAAAATTTGTAAAAAAACATTTTAAAGCTTCAAATCTCTACTTTGTTTCAATTACTATTATATTTCTAATACTTCTATGAATAAATATATTAACGTAATAATAGATCTTAATCCTGTCCTATCTAGATAAATCACACAAGACACATAATTTATGCAAATTATATTATATAGCGAATGAATTTTTAATAGCAATGTATTTCTCACCAAAAACTACAGAAGACGTCGGTGAATGTTTCCGCGCATGTGAATAGCGCGAATACTATCCAGTACATCATCCATTTGACCTGAAACCGGAAATTCTAGAGTAATAGACGATTATAAAAATAATGCAAAAAAAGACTGTAAATAAATTTCGTATTCGTGATTCATCATTTACGGTGGAAAAATATTTAAAAAATGATTGAGATAAAAAATAAATATTATAAAATAAATATTGCTCTTAAAATCTATATAAGTTATATATTTTATTCGTAAAAAGAAAAAACAAATAATTTAAAAGAAAAAATTAAATTAGATTCTATTATTTCGATTTTTTTTTTCTTCTTAGAATAAGTAGAATAAAAAAATGAAAATTTATGACAGCTACGTACATAACAACATAAATCAGTTGCAAGAAGTGTAAAAGGTTAGCTTTAAAAGATTCCTAATGTTTACTTGAATCAACAACTTTATATGATGCAGATGACATTTAAATGCAAATTGATCAACCACTTGACATTGTGCGACAATTTGTATTTATGTACAATATTAATTACGTAAAAATAAAAACTAAGAAATTAAAGAATTTATTTTTATCAAATTTACAATGGAACCAACTCAAATTTTAAACTGGAATATCAAATCATATTTGTAATTTTACTGTAATTTTTAAAATATATTAATTACATAATAAATAATTCTTTCTTTATTTTTAAAATGTTATTTAACTAAGAAATTTTCTATAAATATTAAAAAAAATAAAAATAGGCAGGAGAGTATACCAACAAGTTTTATATAGTTGATTTATTTTAAATTAAATATTTTTGTGATGTTGGATTTAAAAAGCTATTTATTACATGATATCTTATTTATACTTTTTACTTACGTATTCCTTAACATTTTTCGTGCGCACCGCTTTGTAGGAAGCGTATGCCGGATACAAGGTGCCGAAGACCAATCTGAAAATCGGATAAACAAGTCTATAAATGAGAGACCGCGGCGACACTATCGCCAGGAAGACCGTCAACAATCCGACGTTATTCAACGTCATTCTAATGGGAAATGTTTGTAGCCAGTAACGGCACCAGGTCATCGCTTGTCTCGCCAAAAGCTCGCCGATTCCCGTTCTTTGGATCACCGTGATCGATAATTCATCCGATTGCGGTACGTCCTTCTCAAAAACATCTATCGTCGATCGACGGTCTTTTCTCATATCTATCGTATCCATCGTATTAACAATTTATTTCTCTCTATCTCTCTTTCTCTCTTGCGTCGTGCGACGACAACGTTTCACTAGTCGTGAAATCTTGAATGCTTTCGGAGGTCCTACGATGATCGTCGAACCAGCACGACGAGTCGAGCTGCAACACAAAACAGAAATTATTTGAGATATCGTTACCATGTGTTAGTGACACAATTACAAGAAGACTCAATGGATGAAAGATTTAATTAACGTGGGTACTTTAAGGTACTTTAAGGTCTTGTTAGCGAAATCAACTTATTGGACTTGTTAAAGCTCCAATGAATGAGTTTGACGATTGGAATAACTATAGAACAGGATGACATAGTTTTACTTTTTGATAAAATTAAATATTAACCTAGCAAAATCGTTGTAGTATATTAATATCGACATGTGTCAATTAGAAAACATTATAATGCTATGACAACATTCGAATATTCACACAGAAACAATTGATTGAAACTAAATATTAAGAGATGTGCGAATCAAGATTTTTTTAACTCCGAATCGAATTCGAATCGAATCATAACTTAACTTTTTAACAACATAATTATTGTCAGTTGAATTCTAATGTGTAAATAATAAAATTGTTTTTCTATAAAAAAAAGCACTACTTATGGTGCAATTATATTTTAAAAAATATATACAATATTTAAATATTAAACACAAAACCATAGTTACAGGTCGATGGTCGATACGAATCTAATGCGTATTATACATGCGACTAACTTGGCTGACACTAAAGCGCATGTGTGTTGCGTGCGTTACGTTAACCAGTAAGTGTAAACATTGATTAAAGTTATACTTTCAATTTACATATACGTTTTCCATAACGTCAAATTTCTTTTACGAAATATAGAATTTCTCGAGTTAATACAAACTAAATTTCAACTGTTAAAACTGAAAATAAAGAATAAATTTTCAATAATTTATAAGCTAAAGTACAAATATATGTTAACGAGGTTTAGGAGTCGAAACCGCAAGATCTGGTTAGCGCAATTTATCTTACAATATTAATATGTCTAAACGTTTCGGCTAACATTTTGAGTCATCTTCAGCAGAAAAAAATATATGTATATCTATATCACCGCTACTGGACTTGATGTCTCACCTATATGCAGATCATAAAGCGAGATAACCATCCTCAACATTATTAGATAAATGTTGTACTCTCAATATATTAAACTCGCATTTAAAAAAGACGTTTTTCGTATTTTTACATTGTAGAAACAAAATATTGAATTGGCGTAAAAAGTCATGCGGCAGTACGTTGTGTATTTTAAACATTTAATTTTCATGAAATTGTTAGATTCTCTTGCATTCATAAAATATTTTAACTGTTTGTTTGAACGATTTACGCTTTTCGATGGCAGCATCATGAAATGGTCATCGAAATTGGGATTTCGGAGCAGTGTTTTCAATTGAAGCACGATCTATCGATCAATACCTGCAATGACCTCGATTACTCTGATCTCATTTAATAGATTACGCAAGAAACTTATTACGGAGGTCCAATTAAACTCGCGGTACGCTGGTACGTCAACCGTGTCTTTTATCTGTGAGATAAAAAATCCGTTACATCTCACAATACATTGATATTAACTGATTTTTTATCTCAAACAGATAGAATAATACTGTCCCTTAATTTTTTTAAGCATTTATTCACGCAAGATTTATATGCCTTCATATCGTAACGTTGTATGATTGCATTGTAATCTAGATAAATTTTATGTACAGAAATAAATTAACAATAAATAAAAAATTGAATTTATTGGTAATACAGGAAAAAAAGGTTTTATTAAATTTAGCTAGATACAGATCTGAAAATAATTTTGTTGGATCATTAAAATTATTACGTAGAATGCTCAAGTTGATCTGAAATTTTTTGTAGCATTTAGCATTTTTGAGCGTTCTACATAATTATTTTGATAACATAACAAAATTATTTTGAGATTTATTCTGCTATATTTTTTAGATACTACAGCAAAGTCATTCTTTGTATACGATAGTTTATACGGTAGTTGTGACAAAAAATTTATATAAATAATTTTTCATTTATTCTTCATTTATTCTTTAATTTATGCATATTAATTGTATAAATGGTTTCAAATTTGTCCATAAGATCACTTCTTATGAATTTTGATTATTAATTAAGAGCACAGGGATTCTTACATATGTATACAGGAATTGTATAGTAACGAGTAATCTGCCATTCCACTAATCCACACTAATTATGCTCGTTAATATTGATTTCGTACTCCAAAAAATACTTTTGAAATTTATCTCACTAATTATACAAAAATAACAATAAATTTTCTTAAAAAATTCAACGTTTTCTCCTTACAATCCAACCGATGAGTCTCTCAGATTCATTCGCGTTTAGTCTTCCCGAACTCCAGACGCTGCCTGTTCGGGCCTGTGACGTGCGAGACAATGACACGACGCGACGTCTCGTCAGTTCTCTCGTCGTGACGAATTCTGGTGAACCGTTTCCTGTTCCGTCACCAAAGTCGTGCGTGTCGTTGTTCTTTCTTAAATTATTTTCTTGCGTGCGCGACCGAGCTCCCCAGGCTAATGCGCCGCGCAATTCGTTCTTCTCGCGTATGCTTCCAGTTACAGACTAAGCGCGTAGCTCCGTTCGGGCACCGTCAACGACGTCGACGACGACGACGACAACGAGCTGCGGAGGCTCTATTTTCGCGCCTTAAGGCGCTATCACGCGAGCGTTGCTAAACTAACGTGATGTCCGGAACCGCGACTTTCTTGTGATTCACCTGATCATCTTTGTGTCACGAATCACTTCCGTCAAGTAATCCTCATGTTCTGAAGGACTGTCTCGATCAGGTCAAAACTGTTTATGTCCGTCGTATGTTAAAGAGAGAGAGTAAATATAAATAATCAATACAATATTAAGAAACATTATTTTCGAATAGAAATTATTTCGGAAATATTTCTTTCTTTCCATCATTATACTTAATGAGCAATTTGCAACTGATCGTTTTTCTGATCATTTTCGAAAATATTTAATAAAATGCTATTCTACAAATTTAAAGAAGAATTCTATCAGAATTCACTTGAAATTAAATAGAAAATTGAGTTATATTCTTATATATTATGTAATATTGAAAGAAGATTAATTTCAAAAATTTTAAATGTTTAATTACTTCCAATTTAAAAATACTATTGAGAAGCTTAAAAACGTTATATAAGTATAAAGAGCTTATTTCTGCTCGACGTCGAATAAAGGTCAAAGAGTCTATAGACCAAAGTGAATGCGAAGAATACATAAAATATTTTGCCTTACAATAAGTGAAATGTTGAAAATCTCCAAAATGCCGTTTTAAACCAAAAGTCGTAAAAGTGTTTGCGACAGATGTATTTAGAGTGCATGACCGTTTTTCCACGAGTGGGTCATCTCCGTATGTGCCAGAGAGGTAAGTTAATTATATAGACCAACCCAGATATCGGCATCGGTCAAGCTTTATCAGAATGAGAATCGTGATTTAACTTTCTTGCCATATTCGAATTTAGATTCAGTCGTGTTACAAACCTCGTGCGCAAGCTAAATATTGGCATCGTTTCACCCAAATTCTTAAGTCGACTACAAACATGGAACAGGACAAATATCGATATTCCTAGTACCACACACTTTAGACGCACAGAATAACACGTAAGTCAGATGGGAAACATAATAGAAATATTGTTTCTCCTGAACATCACGTGTGCCAGCCAATGTTCTGTATGACAGTCCCTCAAAAGTTTCGACAGCACTCTGGAGGTCTCTAAAGTCTCTGGAGAAATAAATTAAGCAACGAATAATACACAACTGTTATAACTTGTGTGTTTATGAATTCATTTCATATATTTTGTTGGTTAATTAAATTTTGCTGTATACGGCGAGACTTCGAAAAACGTTTCCGTCGCTTTATAACTTGGTTTTTCTCTTCGTTCGAGGCGCAGAAGAGTTTCCTTATAAGAATAAAAACAATGGCTGCATTAACACGAGTTGCCAAGTCACTTCATCAAATCAACCGAACGAATTCAATTAGCGTGTTAGCGTCAATTCTTCGTAGATCAAGAGCGACAGAGAGACTCGTGACAGAAATTAAAACCGATGTTACCTCAACGAATTCGATTGTCTACGTCGTAAATACGCCAAAAAGGTGTCACTCATCTCAGTTTCACTACCACAAAAATTACAAGTATCTTTTTATTTTATACTGTTTGTTGAATATTTGCCAGTACCTTCAATTATTAAAAAATCTCGTTTGCGTTAATTATAGTAATAATAATTTATGTATATATAAATTATAGTTAATATTGTATAAATATCATACATATATTAATTTAATATTATATATTAATTATGAATATATATATTAACAAAACATAACATATTTTATATACAATTAATGTGTAATTACATGTAATTAATATACAATAATTCTACTTCATTATCATTATTATCATTACTACTCTGTGCAAAATATTTTTTAATAATTAAAATACCGACAAAATCGCAATTGATCGTAGGTATACCTCTTCGTACGACACCGCTTGACGTTTATGATGCGAATACGACGAATATCGTGAAACTAAACGAAACCTCCGCTCGTACAAAATCGTGAACGATCGCAGCCGCAGGTAATTCAAAATGATTGTCACCAATGTCATCCTCTGTCGTGGATTACGTAACAGGGTATCCCTATAATGCGCATCGTCCGCATCGTTCACGCGACGATCGTCCGCGACGCGTTATTCACGCCCGGCCGCTTCCGGTTCCGGTTCCCAGACGAGCCCATATATGAGACGTCCTTTCGATTCGCCCATGGGATATCGGGACGAAGAAGCTAGCCGACTGGCAATCGCGCGATAAGACCCCCGACGATTTACGACCGTGGCGATTTCGCCGCGACCATTTACGAAATTGAATGTCCACCTACTGGCCGACACCGTGCCATAAGATCATCTATCGACCTGATATCTCGTAAAGGAGGATCCAGTGACTTTTACGCCACTTTTTTGATCTTATTCCGATGTCATATACGTACGTATTCGCTTCTTTTCAGTCGTATACAGTTCCGTCTGAGCAAGTTTGCGCGCGAGGTTTATGTCAACATTTTTATTAACTTCTATTCTCTTTCAGGAATAGTGGAGTTTTCAATTTAATACGTCTACAGCTGTACACGGAAAGGATGGGTTTGCTGAAACATCTAAAAATTTAGCTAGATACAAATCTGAAAATAATTGCATTGGATCATTAAAATAATTATAATATAGGATAGGTACTCAAATTGATTGCTAGAATGTCCGAACTTTTTGTTCATTATGCTTGAGATTTTTATATAATTATTTTGACGATTCAACATTTTTTCAGATCTGCAGTATCTAGTCTGCTTAGTTTCTGTAAGTTTGGTAATTTTTACATATAAAAAGTTACGAGCTGAAAAAGATGAAAAATTTTCTTTTCTCTTTGTGAGTCTTTCACGCGTGCCCAACAAAAATTTTCGACTAC